TCATCGGTGGGTTTCGATAAGACTTCCACTGACCTAATTTCCACGTGATGTGATTATTATGAAGATGTTAATGATTGTGAGTGCTGATAGTTGCCATTTGTGTGACTGCTGGCGTGAGCATATAACTAGTCGGAACGACTAGATTAATATGTTTACACATTTGTGTGGACTGCGTGTGTGGTGCAAAAATTATTTACTCCTTTAGAAAACCATAGTACTTGTTTGATTTTTCAGCAAGTAGAGTTTTCCTTAATCCGATTAGGCATATGTTTCTTTCGGCGCAGGGCAATTAAAGAATTTTCCTAGTGTCCATAAAATAATTTTGTCTACGTAATTTTATGTGTATTAAAAGCTGATGTTATTGACTACAGTTAGTGACTCCGCCAGTTGTAGATTTGTATACTTCATTAGTCGTTTATTATTATAGATGAGCAGATAAAATTATGTGAACCCTATTATTTAAATGTTGATGCATTAGTTAATTGGGCCCGAACTTGAATTGGAATGTTGGTAAGTCGATATTAATATTTGGTTCCCGAGATTTAAATAAAATATTGGGGTTTTATCATATTCTAATCATATAGCTGAGTGTAAATTGTATACCGCAGATAATAGATTTGTAGCAATTATACAGGCTTACTACGGGCCTCGGGGTAATAGATTTTAGCATTTCAGGCTTACTACGGGCCTCGGGGGCCTTAAGCTTACCTAGGCCCTAGTGCCGGTCCGGCCCACGGAAACGGGTCGTGACACATGCACAGTAAAAACTAAAATTAAAAAGATTAAAAAAAAAAAAAAGAAGAAGAACATTGAAGTTACACAAACCTTCATCAAATGGAAATTCCCCCAAAAAATGATGAGAATCCACGGAGGGAGTAGCTGCATCAGTCATAGCATTATCTAAGAAACATCAGCACAACCAAGTCCAACAGTTTGAATTATCATTATAGTTACAAATTCTAAATTATCCTAATAGTAATTTTAATCAAAATCTTTATTACTGTATTAACTGGGCAAACTAATTACCGGTTAATCTTTTAAATTCTTTTTGGGAATATATATGTGTGTGTGCGCGTGTGAATGATATTCTTGTAAAAAATCAACTAAAATTTAATTCTCATGCTTTTCCAGTTTTGTCAGGTAATTCCAGTGCAGGGGGGAAATTTGAACACCTGTGATAGTATTGGTATGTAATGTTTCATTTTGTTTAGGTAGAAATCAAGAATTCTAAAGAGTTGAGAAGCTTGCTATTGATCAAAGAGGGCAGGCCGACAAAAATGAGCAAAGCGCGCCCTCTCGAGCATTTAAAGACACTTCATACTCAAAGCTCGAACTCCAGACATGTGGTTAAAAGAGAAGGATCCCTCCGTCCATTTAATAGGTGATTATAATATTTATATAATTTAATATGTAATATATATTAATATATACTATAGCGTACTGATATATTAGGTAATATATATATATAAGTATAAATATATATATAAATAAAGGTGAGAACCTAGGAATGAGCAAACTTGAAGCATCTCCACGTCTAGAACTGCATAATCCTGCACCTGAGAAACACAAGTAATTAAAATGAATGGTATAACTTTAAATAATCAATTAATAATATAATATATCAGATAAAGACAATTTGTATCGGAGAATAGAAGAACTTAGAACAATAAGTTTTGGCTCGTTGACATTGATGAAGTGGTTTCTGCACTTGAATCCTGTTAGGAATCAGCTCTGATACCAGTTGTTGGGCATCAGCTCTGATACCACTCATTGGGCCGGAATACCGCAACACATTGGGCCCTTTCCACCGATTAAAGAGAAAATTAACCGCAAAGCGGAATAAACACACGAGCGGAAGAGAAAATTAACGCAGCGGAATAACACAGCGGAAAAATAGAAATATGACACACAGATATTTACGTGGTTCACCCTCAACTGTTTAGGGCTACGTCCACAGGAGAAACTCCGAATAATTCTTCCACTATTAAAACAATAGTAGGTACATAAAGAGAGTAATAAAAAAATAGTGGCACACAAAGTGTTTCCCAAAATACCCCAAAATAATCCTCACTATTTTTCTCTCCCAGTTTCAGAAAACTCATCCTAAAACTATAACACTCTCGCTTGCTACATTTTCTCTTTCTTTCTAGTGTGTTTTGAAGTGTTGCGCCATCTCCTATTTATAGGAGAAGTTTGCGAAGTGTTGCGCCATCGTCCTATTTTATAGGAGGCAAAGTGGATCCGCGTTAATCACGCGTCAACGTCGAAACTGTAAATGCGTTGCCACCTGACATCCTAACGGAGCGTTATCCACAATGCGAAAATAAAATTTTCCTCTTCCTCTTTTATTTTCTTTCCAAACCGTGGTGGGTACCCACTTTGAGTGGGTGGCTACCGCACCTCAATTTAAATCTCCCCAAACTGGACAACACACTCCAAGTGGGGAGCCGTTAGCCCATACATCAATCCGTCTGGACCACCTGCAGCTATACATCTATTAGATCTGCCCACCAATGCCTGTACCGCCGCTAATGACTTTGCGGGACGCGCCTGCACTGAGAACATGATTACGCCCGTCCGCTCTCTTTTTGTCGAGAAGACTTTCGACACAAGGCACCACTTGCAGATCTTTTTTCGGTCTTGGTTCTGTTGTTACACAGCAACTCTTTGCACGTTTCAGTAATCTTGACTGCCACGACACGGCTCCCCCTGCAAATGTGATTGGATATCCTGAAAATATATTTCACTGCAGTCCAGTGTTCCTTTCTTGGATTTGAAAGAAACCGACCCACTACTTCAACTGAGTGAGCAATATCTGGCCGTGTACAAATCATGGTATACATCAAGCTTCCACTGACCATTTCTGAAGGTGCTACAGAAACCTTCATCATCAAATCTACCAACCGAGATTTGGACGCATGCTCGAAAGCCCATTTCTCATGCAAGATCTTTTGTTCCGAGTCGTTTTAGCTATCTGACAAAGAACCTTTTGTGAGCTTCCAACTGTGACCATTTCTAGAACTACATGGGTACGACATGTTCGTGTTCAGCCGCGCGCGCGGATAAGCGGAAATACCCACGAGTATCGCTATACAAACGCCGATCATTCTGCTCTATATCTATGTAGGAGCTCGGGCGAGAGGGATATATGGTTGCATTTGCTGGTCGATGGCGGCGAGAGAGAGCGAGGCCGAACCTCCTAGCATCCACCAGTTCCTTGCCTTTCAGTGTTAGTTGGAACTAAAGAGAGGGGGCATACATGCATTGTAGATGTTAGCCATACAAGGATATATGGATCTCAATTGCTTTCGTGTTTCTCAGTATATGGGTAATTTCCGCCCATTGATAGACTAATCATTTTGCTTGTGCCATTTTGGACTTTGGCCGGCAGAATATCATCACCAAACAATAAAGTTATATCACGTGAACAGTAGTATAGACGTGCAAATAGCTTGACAATGAATAGTACAATAAATAACTCGAAATAGTAACTGTATACGTGAAATAGTAACGTACACGTAGAATAGTACTCATGCGTGAATAGTGCTGGGGCTTACTTGAACGGATTCAGCAACAGTAGCGCCAATCAAAAGTGGTACTGTTCCACTTTCCCATTCACGTTAGTGGTACTATTTTTACTATTGCATACACTTAACGCTGGTCGATTCTGAGCGCTAAACAACTTCCGAGCGGGATCCAGCTACCAATGGACTTTCGGTCGTAATTTTCTCTCATCGTTGGTATCATTATTATTGCAAAATTATCCACGGGGCTCGAGATCCGGATACCGACGCTATCCCTGAACCGGCTAGGAACCTTGAGAGACCGAAAAAACCTTCAGGGCTGCGCATGCGATTACCGCCTGGAGTTTACTTGTTAGGAATCATGCTCGTGATACAAGTTTGTTGGGCCATCAGCTCTGAATACAACTCGTGGGTACCCTTTCACTGATAAGAGAATAACGCAGCAGAATAACACAGCGGAAAAATAAGAAAATATAACAACACAGATATTTACGTGGTTCACGCCTCAAACTGTTTAGGGCTACGTCCACGAGGGAGAAGACTCCGAATAATCTTTCCATTATTAAAAATCGAATAGTAGGGCTACATAAAGAGAGTAGAGTAAAAAATAAGTGGGCACACCAAGTGTTTTCCCAAAACAACCAGCCAAAATAACCTCACTATTTTCTCTTCCATGTTTCAGGAAACCCATCCTAAAACTATAAAAACACTTGTAGGCTCGCCTTGCTACGAATTTTTCGGTCTTATCTTTCTGGTGTGTTTTGAAGTGTTGCGCCAGTCCTTCGCTATTTAATTAGGAGAAGTGGAAACGCGTTAAAGCACGCGTCAACCGAAAATAAATTTTTCACTCTTCGCCTTTTTTATTTTTGTTTTTAGGTTCAAACCCGTGTGGTCCCCTACACGTTGAGCTGGGCAAAGCCGCACAAACAAAATCCCAAAATAGAGTTTTAATTTTTAAAAAAAAAGTGTGTTTTGAAGTGTTGCGCCATCTCCTATTTATAGGAGAAGTGGACGCGTTAATCACGCGTCCACCGAAAATAAATTTTCCTCTTCCTTTTTATTTTTTTTTCAAACCGTGTGGGTCTCACTTGAGTGGGCACCGCACAACAAATCCAAATAGAGTTTAATTTTTAAAAAAATATATATTGGAATTTTGAATTAGATAATGACTTTTAACAAGGTTAGTCGTCCATCTGGAGGAACAATAATCCTTCTTATCCCTTCTGCTTTCATGCCTAGAATTCCTTCAACAAATCCTGCATTAATCAATTAAATTTAATTACTATTTTTTTGCGATGGTAATATCTAACTTTGCCATTAACTTTAACTCTGCAAAAGAAAAAAGAAATAAGGATCTCCTCACCTGGACCAAACTTATAGGGGTACAGGTCTTGTGTTACAGGAAGACGTATAGAATCTGATTTATTAGTATCGACAAGATTTTGAAATTTATCATAGAGATCATAGTTGAATTTAATCTGGAAAAGAAACCCAAAACAAGTTTAAATTTTGGTTCACAGCTACAGAAGATTAAGAAATAAAATGGGGATAATATGAACACAATCCCATACTTGCAGCTTATGAACATTCACCATCTCAACGCTATCACCACGGCCAAATTTTCTGTCTATGTACTTAACCTCTTTCAATGTCAGTAAGTTTCCTGTATGACAGAATGCCGCAGTGAGAAAGGAAGAATAAATAAATGAATATGGAGCCAATAATTAAAATAATTCGCACTACCCACCTTCAGTATCAAATGGGAAATTACCAAATGAAAAGTTATCCAAAGATTTACGAGGTTTTTTAAACAAACTTAAAAACCACGAGAATAAGCAATTATCCTCCTGTACCCTCTCATCATCTGTAGGATATGAAAGCAATTGTTGTTCCTCCTCGGAGAATACTTTGCTTGAATGCTTTTTTGCCATCCTTCAACAAGCTTTGAAATTCTCTGCTACAGTCTGATTAGAGAGGACGAAATTAATTTTCCGGTAGCTGTACTAAAATTCAAGTATATTTTCAGCACTGTATACTACAATTCCACGACGGAGACTTTGACCCTTGTCTTTTAAAAAAATGAAAGGAGACAGACATGTGCTACCTAACACCCCTCAATAATTCAAGCTCAATGAGCTAATGAAGTTACAAACACATAATTAAAAATGTAGCAGCTATGTAATTATTCAATTAGTCTCACGTCAAATGTAATTGGGAGTCTTTTTTTAGTTTTGGTTGGTGTCATTTATCATCTTAATTAAATGTTTATTTTATAAGGTAGCTAAACTGATTATGTTTTGATTTGACTTTGGCTTCCATTTAGCAAAAGATGAATCACTGTGATGATTTTAAGATAGGGTTTTCGATGGACGGTTATGATTAAATATGAAGTGTTCATGGTTTTTGATGGTGTAGTCACCATATTCAATTTTTTTAAAAAATTTATTTTATAACTAATAATTAATTATTTTATTATTTAATAAAATAATAAAAAAATATAATTTAATTAGTAAACTTATATTCTTATATTTTATGTGATTTATGGATGATTTAAACATTATTATAACAATTAAATTATTATAACTTATATTTGGGTACGTGTATTATTATGTTGAATATATAATATTTGGTTTGAATAGTGAACGACATAAAAATTCATATTTTCTTTTCTCTCTAGTCTTCTTTTAACCCTAGTTTTACTTTGGGTTACATCTGTTTATCAGCGATAATGTTTATCTCCTACTTTTACTCTTTCTTTTGCTTTTAATCTTCTTTTGAATTAATAAACTCAAATATGTATTTCCTATAACAGATCTGTCTTTTTGTTTTTATTATTATTGGTTTCTCTCCATATTTAGATTTTTTTTTTGTCCCTTCTTTGCGAGGATAATCCATTCTTTATGAGGATTTATTAAAAAAATAAAACTATGATATTTGACTTTATTTGGTTGAAGACTTTATATTTTCATTTACATGTGTGAATATTCGATAAATAGAGCTTGGTAGTGCGGTCTGTTCCTCCATTAACGCATAGTTGCGGAAACTCATATGTGTTCGTCATTATTGCAAATTCTTGAAAAAAACAATCCAATTATAGAATATCATGAAGAGTTATTATTTTGATGTCCAAATTAATTAACGGATTAGTTGCTACTGTGAAGAATTATATCTTTTATCAAGATCAACTCCAAACGGAAAGATCAAATATTAAATTTTTTATTTTAGTTTCGTTATTTAAAAGAATATGAATTATTTTGCTTTGTTAAAATATCAGCAAACTCTATTAGCTATTAATAGTAAAGTTCAATTTCTGATCTATTTAATTATTTGTAATTGTTAATATTATTATTAACGAATTACATTTTAAAAAAATATTAAATGATGAATGGTTTGAAAAATAATTATAAGTTTATAATTACATTATTATTTTTTATTATAAAATTATTCATGAGTATAATTTTTTTTATATAAATAATTATAAAAATTTAAAAGTAATAATTATTTTTTATTATAAAATTATTCATGAGTATAATTTTTTTTATATAAATAATTATAAAAATTTAAAAGTAAATATTAGTCATCCGGTTCAACCGCGAGCCACTCATCAACCAAATTCAAAGTCAGGTCTGATTTTAAAAAATTGATTAAAACATAAAGATATATGCCTAGAAAAATGTTGAACTACTCGAGATATGATGACCAATTTGTGCCTTATGTGACAAATTCATGATAATTAATCATATTTTGAGAACCAATGGACTCGTTGTAATTTTCTCTTCATCGTGGTATATTTATTTTCAAAATATATCCACGGATCCGGTACCGCTATCTGACCAGCTAGACCTACTGAAACCTTCTGCTCTGATACCAGTTGTTGGGCCCAGGTACCACTTGCCTCAGCTCTGATACAAGTTGTTGGGCATCTGCTCTGATACCACTTGTTAGGCCCTTTCAATCAATTAAGAGAAAATTAACGCAGCGGAAAAATAAAATTGAGACACAGAGAAATTAACATAGTTCATCATTAACTGTTTAGGGCTTTTACTATTGAAACAACGCGCGTAATACAAAAATAGTGGCACCAACGTGTTTCCCAAAAACACTCCATAATAATTTCCTCACTATTTTCTCTCCTTTTACTGTTTCTGTTGTGGATTTAGCTTGTGATAGGAGAGATTACGAGAGAACCGTGTATAACTAATTCACGGCTTTCTCAAAAAAGTTGCATGCCATCATAGACTTTCCTTTTTCTTTTCTTTCGTCCGCGGTCTTCTTTGACTGCAAAACGTGTTTTTTTTTTTCTTTTCAAATGTGTGTGGGTCCCATATGTCGGAGGGACCCACAACATACATATATAGTATAAAATACAAATCTAACTAATAACAAATAGACAAAAAAGCTATTAGCTACTGATGATCAAAATCCTTTTCAAGCATCTCTAGCCTATTAATTAGTCTCACATCATCTCTTCAAAAAAAAAAAAAAAATTAGTCTCACATCAAATGTTTATGGAATCAATAATTAACACCTCAATAAAGAATTGTAAGAAGACGGAAGTCATTATTTAGCTTTGGTCGGTATAAATTAATAATTTATCATGGGAGGACAGTGGACTTATGTTTAGATCAAGACAAAAAGCCTAGCTCGTATGTTCCAGAATTTTAATTTTAGAATCTTATTTTTCAGCCCCCTAAAATTTTTTAACTGAGACTAATAATTGGTTTAGCTGGGACATGTTGGGTTTTATCCACTTCAGGTTATCTCAGATCAAAATTTCAATTATTTTGGAATTTTTTCTAAGTTAAAGAGGAATTTTCGTTTACAATTATTTAAGCGTGGTAATTTTTCGAGCATGTTTGGACAAAATTTTCTCTTTTCTTTTCATTTTTTTATTTTTTATTTTTTTGAAAAAAACAATCCAACTTTTTTACTAAAAATTTTTTCTTCTCTTTTTCCTTTTTTCTTTTTTTTTTTTTTTTTTTTTTTGTAAAAAAACAATCCACCAACTTTTTTTTTAATTTTTTAGAGCCCTTCCAGCTTCTTTCAATTTTATTTTTTTTTTTTTTTTTTTTTTTGAAAAAAACAATCCAACTTTTTTTTTATTTTTATGAGCCCTTCCACTTCTCAATTTTATTTAAACAACAATTTTTTGCATTCAACTACAGGTCTTCAACTCGCTTAGAGAGAGACCTGCAACAGAACTCCTTGCTGTAAGGAAAAAAGAAAGAACAAGAAGAAGAAGAAAGGATCTGTGATAAACGTGTAACGGTGTACGTATATATATTATATCTCATTACTCTTCATTTATGTGTCGGAGTTGGCTTTCTATGTTTATATGTTAAACTAAATTTTGATTTTCAGTGTCCATTCAGAAATAACAATGTGCCCGGATGGAAATAAACAAATTGTATGGGATGACGATGAGCGCAAGGAAATCAATTTAAAAGCACTGGAAGATCTTGTTAACGTGAACTCACTTTTCACAATTGCTGTGTTTATTGGTCTAACCTTTACTGCAACTCCAAACCATGTTAGCCTTGAACAGCGACCGGAATGCATGGCGGACACAAGAATGGGAAAGAGAGTGATCGTTTTCGAAATTATTTCATTTGCTCTGTTCCTCTTCTCAAGCCAGGTAGCCAAATCACTCAAGATTTATATCAACATGTATGGAATTCAAAAAAGTGATAAATTAGAAGTGCACTGGGTTCAGGGTCTATTGTTTTTATTATCAGTTCTGGCATCAATAGCTGGGGTTGTTCTTTTGGCATTTTCTCTGGCTTACGTGGTGGAGATAAAGGTCGGAAAGATGTCCTGTGGAACCGAAGCTCTCCACGCAGTAGTGCCGTTAGTCGCATTTGTGGGTTTGGCTATGTTAATTTATTTATTTTCAATGTGTCATGCTATACGCCATTGTATGGTATAGTGTCTTAAAAATCTTTTGTATTTAAACTCTGAATAAATAAATTCAATTTTATCGTACCTTATTCTTTATAAATGACCTATTTTCTGTTTGAGCTTATAAATTTTAATAATATTATACACATTCTCGTACTAATTATAATAATTTTTAGAGTGATTTAGCTTTTATTACAAGATATTGATTTGTATTAGCTTTTATATATTTTAGTTTTTCTCCTTTTAATCCCAACAAGCTAATCCATTTTGACTCCCTCACTCGTAAGCAGATTTTGTCGTTATATATATATTATTAAGGATGCTGCTCCTCCTTTTCACTTGAATTCTGCAATTGCAAGCTTTTATCTGATATTTTATTATCCTTTTCTCGTTTTCATAATTTTAGGAAATGTCTCCTTTTCACTTGAATTCTGCAATTGCAAGCTTTTATCTGATATTTTATTATCCTTTTCTCGTTTTCATAATTTTAGGAAATGTAATATAGTTGCAGTCTTGGGAAGTTTGGGCTATCCACTGGGTTAGAGGAACACATGTGATTAGAGGAGGTCCCCTCCTCAATTCACTCCTTTATTATGGAGTAATTCATTTTAAATATCCTGAATTTTACTAAGTTGTAATTGTTGTATCCTATTTTCAATTTAATCACTTAGATACTCTAATTTCAAACTTACATTATAATTACATCCTAATTTTAAATCTAGATTTAAAAATGAATAAAATAATAAATAGTAAATTTCATCTGACACATGATTTAACCTAACCTAACTTAAATTAAAACTAAAAGATAGATTTAATAACCTTTTGATTGCCTCCCTCCCATGAAAATAACGATTTCTCCATCCAAAATCATCAAAACCCCAAAACCTAATCCCCCAAATCCTCAAAACCCCTAAACCTAATCCCTAAAATTCTCTTGATAAATTATACATTTTATGTGTCCTTTAAACCAGTTTTTTATTCCTCAAAGTAGCAAAGATTAATAGGGTGACACACAAATTCTGGGATTTATTTAAAATCTTATGCCCACGTCGAAAAATCCAATTTCTTAAGAGACAAATGGGTCACAATC